AACCATGCAAGCTCAAACGGTGTCCTTACTTAGCCTTAGCGCTGGAAGCCTTTCCCTCTTCCCAGTTCTGGAACTATCAAACACCACAGAGCCAATTCTTACATTTTGTAGGATGAAGTAAGTTGAATATACACTCACCTGTAACTTTATGGACCAAAGTACAAATTAGAATAACATAACCTTCATGAGAACAGGGACTGTCCTTTTCTATCTGTATCCCTGTGGTAAGCATTTAATAAACACCCTTTAAAAATCATTCAATTATGCAAAATATTACAAGTGGGAAAAAAAAGAACAAATTAGGTATCTACTACCAAAACAACTGGCTTGGAGGTAAGAAAAAGTAATTTAAGAATCAGCACTGACCACCAATATGAATAGGCAATTTTCAGATGAAGAAAGCAAAGCTACCTATATTCATGTGAAAAAATGCTCTAAATCACTACTGATTAGAGAAACGCAAATTAAAACAACTCTGAGGTACCACCTCAGACCTATCAGATTGGCTAATATGACAGAAAAGTTAAATGATAAATGTTGGAGAGGATGTGGGGAAACTGGGACACTAATGCACTATTGGTAGGGTTGTGAAGTGATCCAACCCTTCTGGAGAACAATTTGGAACTAGGCCCAAAGTGTTATAAAATTGCACATGCCCTCTGACACTAGCTCTCTATCACAAAGAGGTCATAAAAAAGGCAAAAGGGCCTACATGTACAAAAGTATTTATAGCAGTTCTTTTTATGGTAGCAAAGAATTAGAAATTGAGGGGATAACCATCACTGGGGAGTGGCTAAACAATCTGAGACATATGAATGTCATGAAATACTACTGTTCTATAAGAAATAACAAGCAGGATGATTTCAGAAAAACCTATAAAGACTTACATGAACTGATGCAAAGTGAAGTAAGAACATCACACATAGTAACAGCAATATTGTAATGATGATCAACTACGAATAATCTAGCTCTTCTCAGCAATACGACGATCCAAGACAATACCAAAGGGCCCATGACAGAAAATGCTATCCACATCCAGAAGAACTGATGGAGTCTGAATGCAGATTGAAGCATACTAGTTTCATTTTATTTTTTTTGTGGATTTTTCCTTTTGATTTGTTTCTTCTTTCACAACATGACTAATAAGGAAATATGTCTTACATGATTACATGTATAACCTGTATCAAATCACTTACCATTTTAGTGAAGGGGAGGAGGAGGGAGAAAATTTGGAACACAAAGTTTTAAAAAAATGAATGTTAAAAATTGTCTTTACATGTAATTGGAAAAAATAAAATACTATTAAAAAAAGAATCATCAGATTCTATGAAAAATATGACCAAAAAAAAAAACCACATTTCAAAAAAAATCATAAAAGAAACTGCCCATAACTATTAGAACCAGAGGGCAAACTTAAATAGAAATATTCCATTTCTTAACTCCTGAAAGAAGTCCCAAATAAGAAACACTCAGAAATATTATATCAAAACCCAAAGCTTCCAGATTAAAGAAATAGTGAAAATAGCTTAAAAAGAAAAAAATTAAAATACCATGGAACCATATTCAGAGTCACACAAGACAATGCCACAGTCAAAAAGGAAAGGAAATCTTGGAATATGATACACCAAAAGGCAGAAGAAAAGGTATAACTACCAAAATAACTTACCTTGCAAAACTGAGGGTAATCTTGCACAGGTTAAAAAAAAAGGGGGGGGGAATGGGATAACAATAAACCAAAGAGAGAACTCTCAAGCATGATGAAAAGACCTGAGACAGGCAGACTCTTTCAAGTACAAGCATAGGAGACAAGGGAAAATGGGAAAGGTAAATGCAGTTGAGCAACGAAAAAGGTCTAGGTGAGGGTTGGGGAACCTCCAGCTTAGTGGCCACATGTGGCCCTCTAGGTCCTCAAATGCATCCCTTTGACTGAATCCAAGCTTCACACAATAAATCCCCTTAATAAAAGGATTTGTTCTGCAACATTTGGATTAAGTCAAAAGGCTGCAGCCAAGGACCACATGTGGCTTCGCAGCTGCAGGTTCCCCACCCCTGATCTGGTTGACAATTCAGAGATTATATTCCAATTGAGGGGGAAAAAAACAATTGGCTCTTCAGATTCCCAAGTGTCTTGAAGGATCACAGAGAAAATAAAGACAAAAGTACAGTTTGGGCTGGTATGGTTCGGCTTTACTTTATAGGTTTTAATAGAGAAAAGAAAATGGAAGGAAAGAGGAAAACACTAAGGGAGAAAAGGGGAGAAGAACTTCTTTCTCAAATTTTTTGGACAAGCCTACAAAAAACAGAGGGGTGAGAAGTAAGCATCTCACAAACCTCATTTTTATTAGAACAAGGAAAAGGGGAGCTTCAACACATAATTTATTGTAGAAATCAAATAAATTCAGGGAAATAGGTAAAGAAGGGGAAATGGAAAGAAATGTTTAAGAGGGAGGGAATAATCACAAACAAAACAAACATCAACTTTTGTTGTTCCAGTCATTTCAGTCACGTTCAACCCTTTGTGACCCCATCTGAGGTTTTCTTGACAAAGATACCAGAGTGGTTTGCCATTTCCTTCTCTAGCTCATTTTACAGATGAGTAAACTGAGACAAACAGGGTTAACTGACTTGCCCAGGTCTTGCCCAGTGTCTAAGGCCAGATCTGAACTCAGGAAGATGAGTCTTCCCGATTCCAAACCCAGTGCTCCATCCACTGCGCCATCTAGTTATCCAAGAATGTCAACTACATAAGGATAATCATAAAATGAGGCGGAAGGAAAGAGGTCAAAAGTAGAGTAAGAAACTATGGTCTGGGTCTAGGCAAAAAAGCAGTTAGGTGGATTACTAGTATACATCCCCTTTCTTATTCTTTCTCACCTTTTTTTTTCCTTTGTAAAGAAGGAGGTGAGGGGCAAAGAGAAGAAAAATTATAATAAGAGCTGATGGAGGGAAAATACAATTAATCATAACGGTGAATGTAAATAGGTTTAACTCTTAATGTAGTAAAGGGTAGTAGAATGGATTAGAAAGCAATTCAACAATATATTAACAAAAAACATGTGAAACAAGTTTCACAAAATTAAAATGAAGACCTAGAGCAGAATTTATAAGGCCTCAAGTGAATCCAAAAGATGGCAATCACAATTACAAGCCAACAATGAATAGTTAAGAGTTAAGTACACACTTCACATCCAGCAAATTAGCAAAGGTAATAAAAGATAAGAACAGTCAAGGCTGGAGGAATATGGGAAAAAACAGACATACTAACGCACTGATGGTGGGGCTGCAATGATTCCAATCATTCTGGGAAGCAATGTGGAATTATACAAATAAAGTACTAAAATGATCCAAAGATTCCGCTGCTACATACATAACCCAAGTAAGTCACCGGTTTAAAAAAAAAAGGTTCTATATACTCCAAAATATTTATAGCAGCACTTTTTGTGATAGGAAAGAACCAGAAACAAACTAGATGCCCATCAATGGGGAATGGCTGGACTGTGGTATACAAATGCAATGGAATATTATCGTGCTTTAGGAAAATACATGATGAATATAAAAAAAGTATGGAAAGACTTACATAAATGGATGCAGAATGAAGAGCAGCCAGGAAAACAATATGTACAATGACACCAACGGAAATGGAAAGAACTCCCATAAAACAAGTGAAGATGGATGTTGTGAAATTATAAAGAACAAGCTTGGCCTCAACGAGAGAACTATAATGAACTCCACCCATACCCCTTTACAGAAGGATATGGGGGGGAAGGGGGATAGATGGTTTTTATATATGAAATATTACATATCATGTCAAATTTTTTCAAAATATTGATAGGTTTTGATGAGCTGTAATTTCCCTTTTCCCATTTTTAAAATTCTTTAGTATAAGCAATGGCTCTCTGGGAAAGGGTAGTGAAGGATACACGGGAATAGACAATGTAAAAACAAAAGATATCAATAACCTTTTTTTTTTAAAGGAGGTTCAACTATATGATCTCAATTTCAATTCTAGTTTTAATGTCCTATGGTTCTATGAATGGATTTTTGTGGGCAATCCAAGAAGGACACTACCACTTATAATACTGTGTCTTAAGCAGGGGTTTCTCAACCCTTTTGTGTCACACATCCCTTTGTCAGCCTGATGAAACCAATGACCCCTTCTCAAAATAATGTTTTTAGTGCAAAAAAAGGAAATACGTAGAATTATAAAGGTAATCAACAGAAACAAAGAAACAGACAAGGAACTAAATTATGATTAAAGGCACCAAAGATAATAGGGATATACATAATGGGATGGATTGTGATTTCATTGGAATAGAGAACCTCTAGGAAAGGCAACTCCTACCAATGAAGGTTGGCACCTTCTTTGTAACTTCCACTTTTGGAGTTATTTAGATCACTGAGAGATTAGCCACTGAATGACAGCATTTAAGTTACTTAAAGGAAAATCTAATCAATTATAGGGAGAAACAGACTATAAAACTCTTAAGAGTTGAGGATTCAATGTACCCCTTATAGATATAGACAAATTTAACATAAAATAAACAAGAAGTGCCACCTGGCTGTCAAAAAACATCAACTATATAGAGATAAATTATAAAAGGTGGGGAGGGGAGGTCAAAAGTAGAGTAAAATATGTAAGAACCAATGATCTAGGTCTGGGCAAAGAAGCAGTCAGGCAAATTACTAGTGTAGATCCCACGCCTATTCTTTCTCAGGTTTTTTTTTTCCCCTTTGTAAAGTAGGAGGTGGGGGGCACAAAGAGGAAAAATTACAATAAGAGCTGATGGATGGAAAACACAGAAAAGAAGGACCAGAACAGAATTTTAGAAAAATTATTTAAAATAAATTTCTGCATCAGCAACTGAAAGGAATTCAACTTTACATCACACCTTTATAAAAACTAACCACATGCTAGGGCATTAAAAAAATTCAATGAAATGCAGAAAGTCTAAACTCCCTCCCTCACCCCGGCAAGAAAATAACATCTATATTTCACCTACCCTCTTATTGTATTATTTGTCTCAGGATCATCTGGGTCCAATGTTTCTTTTAAGAAGTTTATATAATGAATCCAAAGATCAACACTAAGAGGTATTGCCTGAAGCCCTCGCCGATAAACCTAAGAAGAAAACAACAAACTGTACTTCAAATATTTATTTATTTATTAAAAGAGAGGCAACACTGTGTTATCCGGTGAACCTTAGAAATACTAATTACTGGAATTTTGTTTAAATAATCTACCATTACCATTTGGGTGGAGGTTGGATAGAACATGGCAATGTTCTGATCCCCACGTGCAGAATCTTGATCTTCAAAGCGCAGCAGTCCCTGCATTCTGACCGGGTTGTGTGGGCAGGCTTTGGGGTACAGACCATAGGGCACAGACCCATTAGAGCATCAATGACAGCGTCTGACCAAAAATGCAATAAGACGTAGCAAATGTGACTAGCAAACCAACTATATTATTTGGAAAATGAGAAATAAATGTAAGTGAGAAAAGCCCTGCCCTACTTGTTAAGCTGCAGTGTAATACAGAGGCTTGCACTGCAAAGCTTGACAAACTGTTGAGGTTTTACGCACCTGCCAACAAAGAGAGAAAATATTAGCTACAAATGCCACAAGAGTGACAAATGCAAATAAAATACCCTATTAAACTATTTGAGCATATATGGTAGGTACTGCCAGCCAAAAAAAAAAGTTTTTTGTTATTATTTGGCTTACAGTACCTAATGGTGTTAACTTCATTCTGTGATATACGCACCTCATCTGATTGTTTAATGTTGTCATGGCGCTTTTCAAGGTCTGCATACTTTTTCCAATAACCATAGCAATATGGGTAGTGTGTAAAAAATTTGTCAAATGCTTTCCTGGCAGCCAGCAAGTGATTCTGATGGGGAGGAAAAAAAAAACAAGCAGAATGCTTTTAAAAATCTTATTTCTTACAAGAAGAACACAAACCAATTTTTCAAATAACCTATTAGAAAATGCTCATCTAAATAATATTTTAATAAAAATAAAGGAATGGATTAAAAGAAGTACTAAGTAATAACTTATATTGTGCTTAAGATTGCAAAGCAGTATATAAACATGATCTCACTGGACCCTCATGACACTCTTATGAAGCAGGTTAGTATTTAAAGATTGATTCAAAAGTTAAGTCTTCTTGACACGAAAGCCAATCTTCATCTCACTAAATCATGTTGCCTCTCATGAAACAATATTAAAATCTAAAGCATATTTACTGATGACCATACTTGTGCAACTACAACATTTGCTGACTGACAGAGAAGCCATTAAATCTGTGAGCACATTTTAACTTTCAATAATATAATACTCATGCTACGAGCTAGTACTTTTCCTATAAAGATGGTGTTAGAAACATCTAATATCCACATTATTAAAGATTTAATTCAATTTCTATTTTGTCCTACACCAAGATGCAAAGATTAGACAAGAATCTTTAGGCAAAATCACACTATAAAAAAATAACATTTTCTTTAATTTTAAAAGTCTCACTGAGGTCTGAAAACAATCTGAAACAAAAAAAATTTAAGAATAAGAACCTGCCTGATAAAATTAATATTTTCTATGTCTCCCCATTTATCCTTAAGTTTAAATAATTACTAACCTCCTGTTCTACATATTGCAGCAAATATACCCAGCCAGTAAAATCCTGGAGATTACTTTCTACAGTTTTCCAAAACTTTTCATATTCTGGAGGAAATTGTGCTTCAGTATCTGTCACTGGCAGTTCTACACTTGAAACTTCATTTTCCTCTGTATTTTCTTCATTCACATTAGGAGAGCCATCAGGTGACTGTTCCATCTCTATGACATTCATAATCTCAGTACTGAAATCAGTGGGCTGCTCTATGGCTACCTCAGAACGACTGCTTGCATTGCCATTGCTAGAACTGCTGTACTCATCCATGTGAGTAGAATTCTGCATAGCTGTTGATGTTGTCTCCTGTTAAACAATAACCTGTGAAAACATACAACAAAAATCACCATCTTCCAAAAGATAATAAAACAGTATAACATGCAATCAGCCCTCTTCAAGTAGTCTACTTCAATGCAAAAGAAACGTACAACTTCAACACTCAACCATCCTCTAAATCAGTGCTTCTTAAACTTTTTCCACTCATGACCCCTTCTGGCCCAAGAAATATGTAAATGTTCCCGGGTACATAGATCAAACATTTATTGGTAATAAGTCATAAAGAAATTCATTTTAAAACAATTCTTTTGCATACATATAATTTTACTATTTATTAAAGACAGTAGTCTCGAATCTGAACCAAGGTGTTTCTAGTAGCATTTGTTGTGGTTGTGTGGCATGACAGCATGCACAGTGCCAATTGCCATATGTTGTGTGTTCACAACCAAGGCTGCAGTGAAGTCGCGTGATGCAACATGGGGAAGTGCTGCCAGAAATACACTGGATTCATTATGTGTTTGATTCTGAATTTTTAGTTGTTGCAGGTTCAGAAAATTTTTACTGCTGCCAAATTTTTCACAACCCCCACATTCAGTTATGCAACCCGATATGGGGTAGTGACCCACAACTTAAAAAGTGCTGCTCTCGGGGTAGCTACATGGCGCAGTGGATAGAGCGCCAGCCCTGGAGTCAGGAAGACCTGAGTTCAAATCCGGCCTCAGACACCTAACACTCACTAGCTATGTGACTCTGGGCAAGTCACTTAACTCCAACTGCCTCACCCAAAATAAATAAATAAAAATTTTTTTAAAGTGCTGCTCTAAATCACAATGTTAACACAACTTTTCATCATTTGTTCTATCCACAAATACTTATGAGTGCCTTCTTATGCATTCAAGTTATTTATACTAGGCACACAGGGCACACAAAGGTAAATGAACATGTATCTCTTAAACACCTACTGTGTACCAGGCACTGCTATTAAGGGTAGGCTAAATAATTCAGTTTTACAAATGGGGAAACTGAGGACCAGAGGGGGGAAATGATTAGTCCCAAATCCACCCATACTACCAAACTTCCCTTTACCAAAAATATCATTCTTCCCATCATCCAGGTTTGTAACCTCTGCATTACCCTCTATTTTTCACTCTTTCAACTCAAATATCCATTTACCAAATCTCGTCATTTCTATATCCACAATATCTATGTATCTGATTCCATCTTGCTACTCCATACAGACATTAGCTTCTTATTTCAGTCCCTCATTACTTCTGGCCTAAACTGTTGCAACACTTCCTAATTGGTCTCCTTGCCACCTCAAATCTTATCCTGCATGAATCCATCTTTTACAAAGCTGCTTTATGCTTAAGAAATCTTATGCTTGAGTGACCATATCACTCTTACTTAATAAAATGCCAGTGGTTCCCTATTACCTCTAAGATTAAATATAAACTCTGTTTAGCATTTATAGGCCTTCACAACTTGAGTTCTACCTATTTTTCGAGCCTTACTTACATTACTCCTCTTCACCCACTCAACATACACACACAGCATTCCATTTCCCTGAGGTTGTTAAATATGGAAAACGATGATCCTGGGGGTAGATTGGCTCTTTTCTGGGGTTTTTAAGAGAAAAAATGAAGGGATAGTAAAAGGAATATACTACTGTGGGAAGTCAAGTCAGTAAGTACTAAGTGCCTACTATGTGCCTGGCAGTGTATTAAGGTCTGGAGACACAAAGAAAAACAAAAAGTCCACATCCTCTACTTCATAATCTAAGTGGGAGACAACATGAAAACAACTATGTCCAAACAAGACGCACATATATATGTATGACAAACTAGAAATAATATGAGAGAAGGCACTAACATTAGGGAGGACAAAGCAAGGTTTCTTGCAGAAGGCAAGGATTTTTAACTCATACTTAAGGGAAGCCAGGAAAATCACAAGGGGATGATGAGGAGAAAGGGAATTCCAGGCATGGGGGATGCCAATGGGAAAAACAATTCCAGAAGGTGGGAAATGGAATCTGTTGTGTGAAAAACGAATCCCTAAGGAATCCCCAGTCATTGATCACAGAGTGCATGGAGGAGAATAAGGTGTTAAGCAGACTGGAAAGCTAGGAAGGGGTCAGGTCAAGAAAGATTCTAGAAGATGTTTATATTTTATCCTGGTGGCTTAAGGGAGCTACTGGAATGTAATGAATAAGGGAGAGAGGTGACCAAAAAGGAGAAAAAAGGGGTAGAACTTGCTATTTCTCATATTTGGGGTACATGAGAAGGGCAGCACACAAACATGTGAGTAGAAGGACCAGCTATCAGATGAATCTCACTTATCTGAAGCAAAGGTGAGTGAACATCCATAATGATGTAGAAATACATCATACTCAACAGGGACACAAACAGGGATGGGAAGAGCAAGGAAAATAACAAAGGAAATCACTACAAGCAAAATTAATTTCCTGATCCTGAAGGGGGGGGGTCCCTGCAAAAAGGGAGGGATATTGAACTAGACTCTAAGGGTGGGTTGCCCATCAACTGGGGAATGGCTGAATAAATTGTAATATATGAAAGGAATGGAATATTATTGTATTATAAGAAATAACAAGACATGATTTCAGAGAATCCTGGGTAAAATGCATTACCAGAACCAGAACAGTTTACACAAAGGTAGCAACATAGTAAAGAAAAATAACTTTGAAGGACTTAAGAACTCTGATCAATGCAATGACCAACCAGGTCTCCAGAGTATCTATGATGTAAACATGTTATTTACCCACCTCCCAACTAAGAAGCATAAATTGATGGTTTTACATACAATCCTTTTTATGCTTTGCAGTATATACTCTTCATTCCTAAAATCCCAATTTTATGGTACAGTCAATATGCTATTACATTCATATCTCAGTTTGACACTCTCAATTTGAATTTAACCTCAAGTTTTAACTTCTAAGTTGAAAGGAATATAGTGACCTAAATATTTTCGTCTTTGCTTTTTGTTCAACTGCATTTTCAAAAAAGCCCAGAATACAATGTCTAAATATGGCTTCAAAAATAATTTTAAATAAGTTTCTATAAATAACTACACATCTACTACAAAAGATTTTTTTTAATTTTATTTATTTTGCCCTGGAACTGTGACTTCATTGGCACAGGATACTCCCAAAGAGGCTATGTCAGCTTCTTTAATTGCAGATCAGCCCTACTTCTACAATTTATATTCTTGAGAGTTACCTAGGGCACTGAGAGGTTAAGGGATTTGTAGACATTCACAAAGCTAGTATGTATAAGAACATTACTGACTGTGGCCAGCTCTCTAACTAAAAAAAAAAAAAAAAAAAAAACCCCCAAACAATTGTCAATTAATGATAGTTGGTGATAAATGCAACAAGAAGTAATAAACTAGGAACTTGGGTTTCTAGTTGCTGCTAGTTAGAGTGCTTAGCTAGCACTAAGAAACTTAATAGGCCAAATAGTGCTCGCAAATCATTTGTGATTCTATGAACTTCCTTTCTAATATCTATGGAAAGGAAGACAAGAGAAGAAAATAGGCTCAGTGACAGGATGAAAAAGAAGGAAAAAAATAAGCATTAACTTGTACATGAGCACTGTTGTATTATGTGCCCATTTTAGCATAAATGTACATCTAGCTTGACCTTCCCATAGATCTTGGTAAAGTCCCAAGGAAGACTGGCCTACAACCAGTACAATTTTTAAAAAACATTAGCTATATTTTTTCTTTTCTTACACACCTCCCAGTTACATTTTTAAAAATTTATTTTCAGTTCTGAATTCTCTCCCTCTATCTAGCCCTCCCCCCACTCACTGAGAGGGCAATAAGATATCCATTGTAAAAGAAAAAAAAAGACCGGAAAAACCAAGTGAAAGCAAATATGCTTAAATGTGCACCCCAGTTCTCTCTCTGGAGGTGGATAGTAGTTTTCATCACAAGTCCTTCCGCCTTGTCATGAAATCATTGTGCTGATTGGAAGAGCTAAGTTTTTAACAGTTGTTACAATATTGCCATGACTGTGTACAATGTTCTTAGTTCTGTTCACATCACTTTCAGCTCAAATAAGTCTTCACAGATTTCTGAAAATTTACTTTGTCATTTCCGACTCAAAGTGTGGAGCTGGATTATCAGGTCATTTTAGTTTTCTCCCAGCTCAAAATCTAAAACTTATGACTAGAAGCCAAGTCTCTTGACTTGTGCTCCAAAGCTCTACTATGTCAAAGAGGCTCTGTATTTGCAGTAGTCTTAAAAGTATATACTAATTATAAAAGAGACTTCAAGATACTAAAAAATGGATACATCTTAAGGAATCATGTGAGACTGGTTGACAAAGCTAGTTAAGCATCAGTCTGTCCTTGTCAATTGTATCTACAGGACATGTCTCACACCCCTTTCTTTCCACATACTACAACCAACCTAGTTCTTTCTATACTCCATCACTTGAACTTATCATAGCAACCTCCAACTAATTGTCATTTAAAGTCCTTAATGAGCTGGTTCAAACCAGTCTTTCCAGACTGATTTCACTTTATTCCTCTTCAAAGACTCTGTAATCATTTTGCTTGCTCTTTCCTTCTACATATCACATCCTATTTGCACGGGCTACCCTTGCCTAGAATACTCTCCCTTCATCTTTTCTGCTTCCTAGAATCCCCAACTGCCTTCAAATTCAGTTCAAGTGCCACTTAAGAGGTTTTTTCTTACATCCCCCAGTTAGTGCTTCCATCCCCACCTCTAAATTATTTTTATTTTGTATATAGTTTCTATTTACTTATGTATATACAAACTATTCCCTCCAGTAGAAGGTAAGTTTGTTAAAGGTGGGTACTACGTTAAGGTTTTTGTTCTTGTATCCTTGGTTCCTTACACAAAGTATCCTGACGAAAAGTAGACTTAATAAATGCTTGTTAAAATGTCAGTCACAATAAGTACTTGAAACGTTTCCTACAGTATAATAAATTTGACCTACCTAAAAAATGTGCTAGCTACGACAAACACTAGACAGTGATTCAACAATAACTTTGCTTGCCAATTTAGAATTTTAAGGGGCTTTTTAGGATGATCTGAATGAGCTACATACATTTCTTTAAAAAGTGGGTAGGAAGGGGCAAGAAATTTCTCTGGGAAAATTCCCCTGTAGCTAACAAAAAAAAATTTCACAAATTTTATCTATTATTTTTAGAAGCAGTTTTTGCTGGGAGAACAGCTAGGTGGCAGTGGATAGAGCACCAGCCCTGAAGTCAGGAGGACCCGAGTTCAAATTTGGCCTCAGACCAAACACTTGACACTTACTAGCTGTGTGACCCTGAGCAAGTCACTTAACCCCAACTGCCAAAAAAAAGGGGGCAGTTTTTGCAACATTTAGATATTAATAGACTAAGGACTAGTTGTCAGGAAACATGGGTTTTTAGTCCCAGAGCTGATACCAATTTTATAAGCTTAGTTTCCAGATAAATTGAATATATCTTTAATTAATGATCTCTAAAGTCCCTTTTAATAACTAAGATTCTATGATTTTGGGTCTTTCAGTGTTTGGAAAAACAGCTTCAATCTAGAAATCTTAAATCTTTTTTCCAATATGCAACTCCAAAATTTCCATAAGAACATTCAAAGGAAAAAGGACACCCCCCCCCCACATACACTCTCAACCCAAATGACATGTCAAAAGGTTTAGAGTTTGGCTTTTTTTGGGTTGCTGTTGTTAAACACTAGCTAACTAGAATCACCACCATCCCTTCTCCCTACCTTCACCACCAATCCCACCCCAGTGGGAGAGTGGAGAGGGTAGGAATAAACAAATGGGTAAAGAAAGAAACGAGAAGCACAGGTAATTAATTAGAAAGTAGCAAAGGTGTAGAGTAAAAAATACATATATATGCTAAATTTGGGGTTCTTCCATTTTAAACTTCCAGATTACTTTTGTTCAGGTTACTTTGTTAACAGTGATTACAACAAACACAGTTTAGGCTAACAAAGGCTTTAAAGCTTTAAGATCATCTGGTAATGACTGAAATTTAACCAATGTGTAAATAACTAATGTAGCAAAATAGCAGGTCAAAAGTCTTAAATTGGGCAGCTAGGTGGTACAATGGATAGGGAACTGGCCCTGGAGTCACGACCCGAGTTCAAATTCAGTCTCAGACTGGAGACTTGACACTTACTAGCTGTGTGACCCTGAGCAAGTCACTTAACCCCAACTACCTAGCTCCCCCGCAAAAGTCTCAAATTACGGTAAGCAGAAATGATCCCGCTTAGCTCAGCTGATTAAGAACATTAACATCAGTAACTTAAGCTATAATGAAATACATTAAATTAGTGCAAGGAAGCCCAGAAATACACATCAATGAAACAAAGTACCCCATCACCCCAGAAGTTACTTCAAATTAGATTATAAGGGTGAACAGGCAAAGGAAGTAATCTTAGTCTTTGACAATGCCTGAAAGAAACTTCAGTAACCCTTTCAAAAATAATTCTATACTTTAGCAAGACAAACACAATGTTTCTAAATAAGGACCCTCTGCTTCTAATCCTATAAAGAAAACTTCATTTCCATAAAGTTAGAATTACATTATCTTTTTTTCCTAACAATTATTAATAGGAGTCTACTTAGTGATGCTGCTTGAACAACCTCAAAGAAAATACTGGATTCTTCCTGTATCAATTATCACCCCAGTTATGACATCAACCACTCACCTCACCTATTACCCCTGAGCCTATTATGATGGAGTTGATTACTGGGTTCATAAAAATCTAATAAGACCTTTACTTATTGCCATTTTATCTTTATTAAAGGGCACACAGGGAAAAGTTCCACACCTTAGAAAATATATAAAAAGTTAACAGTAGCTGCAACTTAACAGCGGCATGCAGTAAGCACTAGATGCCTTTTCATTCCAGTCACCTAGGGCACTAAGAAGTTAAATGACTCACCCATTGTTGTATAGCAAATATGTGTAAGAGGCCAGGATATGAAGCAAGATCTTCCTGATTCTACTATCCAAACTGCCTAACAGGACTACCTGCAGCACAGTTAATAAGGCAGCATTACTTTTTAACTTAAAACTTCTCACTACAGTTATTACCTCCCCTCCATTTCTCAAGCTCCAAAGAAAAGTCATCTACATTCATTACTTCTACTTCCCTTACTTCCACCTCAAATCTCTTCACTCAGCTGAAACTGCTCTCAAAATGATTTCAACTGCCAAATCTGACAGCCTTTTCTCAATCCTCAGCCTCAAAATCTAAGTACAGCATTTGACACTGTTCACCATCTTCTCAGTTCTAGATACTCTCTTCGTTGTCCATCTACCTGTCTGCTCCTATCCAGTCCCCTTTGCTAGATTATCATTCATTTCATATCCCTAACTGTAAGTATACCACAAGGCTCTTTTTCCTCTATGCTCTCTCACCAACCAGCTCCTGTAGGCTTAATTAATTTCTATGCAGATGATCCCTAGATCTATATATAGTCAGTCCAAGTCTCCCTCCTGGGATCCAGGCCCATAAATCACCTATTGGACAGTTCAAACTGAAAGTTCCATATAAGTATCTTGAATCTAACATTCAAAACAATACAGATCTTTTCCTCAGAAACATACTCAACTTCCAGACTTCCCTATTTCTAGTGAGGTCATCATCATTTTTACAGTAACCCAAGGTTTTTAAAACTTTAGTGTCATCCTCAACTCCACAAACAACTCCACTCATTCTCCAGACCCCACAAACTCAATTCAGTTGCCAAATCTTGTCCTCTGTACCTCTAAAACACTTCCCACCTCTCCCACATTCTGTCCAATCACACAACCACCATCCTAGTTCAGGCCCTCATCACCTCTCACTTGCACTATTTCAAAAGCCTAATCACTTTTGCCTCTTAAGTCGGTAACCCCTCCCCCAATCCAACCCATTCTTCATTCAACTGACAATGATTTTCCTAAATCGAAGATCCAACCATGTCACTTCACACTAATCAACGAACTGGTGATTTCCTATTATTTGTAGAATAAAAATATAAACTCTTTTGTCTGGCACTGAAAACCCTAAAAACCTCTTTCCAGCCTTCATGTGACTTACCTTCCCACTCTTTAAGGTCCAGCCCCAAATGCCACTTCGCCATCCTTCATAGAGGACACTCTCTCATCTGTCCCCCATGCCCAGAATGCTTTCCTCCCTCACTTGTGACTCTTAGAACGTCGTTTCCCTAAAGACCCGGAGTTCAAGGCTCCACTTTTAACATGAAGCTTTTCCTGATCCCCCCAAAACACTACTGTATTTTTTTTTCCGGCATATAAAATGTGTTGTTCCTCCCTTCACCCCCTACTCATCACTGAATGTAAACTCCTTGAGATGAAGGGCTTTCATTTTTGTCTTTATTACCAACAGAGTCCAGCATATATTAGGCACTTTAACAAGTGTTTGCTGATTGATATTGCAAAGTAGGTATGAAAAGAACTGAGGCTGGCTCTGCAACTATCAGGAAGAAAAGGAGGGCTCCAAAGTGCTTGAGTGCTCTTCCTGACCAGAAATTGCCAAATTAAAAGGGGACTTTGGCCTACTTTTACAATGCTGCTGCCTGCTCATGGTCCATGACACTACAGTAGGCGTTTAACATGCTCGTAGAATGACTCGAGAGTAGGATTTTCTACACACTGGAAGGACGATTGAGCCTTAGCTCGGCAGGATTGGTCGTGGCTCCCTGCCCCCCGCCCCCATCCCGGGTTGCCTTCAAATGAGGAGGGTGGGGGCGGGGAGGATGGCCATCTGTAAAGACTCGCCCAACAACCTCGTGGTGCCAAGGGAGCGGGCAAGTCCCGGCCCAAATCCGAAAGGGCCGTCCCTCGGGTAAAAGCCCGCGGAGCGGCAATCGGACCGAGGGAGGGCCGGCGAGGGACGGAGGAAGGGTGGGACGACTGGGGGAGGGGGGCAGCAGCGCCGGGCGCTTCGGGCGCCAAGTCCGGGCCAGGCCGCAAGGGCCTGTGGGGTGGGGGGTGGGGAGGTGGAGTGAGGCCCGGGGCCGAGACAAACCAAATCAGGCCTTACCCCTGGAGAAGTCGGCCGCCGGCTCTCTGCTCGCGTCTCTACCTCGCCGCCCGACCCGCACTAACCTTGGGCTGGAAGCCGTTCAATGCCATTAAGGAGAGACTCGGGCCTGGCTCCCCACAAAACGAGCCCGGACGGCCACGTCTGCAGCGGCCTCGGCGGCTCCGGCTACTGCGGCTGCGGTGGCTCCGAGCGCCCCGCCCACGACACGCGGAGAGCGCAGGGCGCATGCGTCCGCGTCGCCCTCGCGGGCAGGCTGGATCACGTGTCTTCCCGCTGCGCTCCACCCACGCGCCGGCGCGTCCACCTGGACTGGAGCTCCCGAGGCTCCGGGGAGTGCCCCTCCCCCCAGCAGCCCCGGGCTGTTGCGTTCCTCGCGTTCTCTGTACATCCTCCACAGCTGAAGCACTGCTGACCCCGGTGCGCTCCACGCACTGTGCCCGCCTCACCTGTGCTGAGCTGGGGAAGCCCCCCAGCAGCTGGTGTCCTTCTTGCTCTCTCGGCTCTGCGTACTGTCAAGTTAGCAAACGTGTTAAGAACCTGCTATGTGAGCTTATGGAAGTGATTGTTTATAAAATAAATTAATTTTTAAAAATTTTAAAGAACCTACTATGTGATCAGCGTTAAAAGCATCCTTGCTCTCAACGAGTTCACAGTACGGTATACTTTTCTTTCCCCAAATCCCAACACTAGATATAAGGGTTTTCTTTAAATTGAACCAGAGTCTAGACTTAGAGGCTTATGAGGGTCATTATGTAATGAAGCCAATTCTTAGGAAAAAAATACATGTGTAGTGATAACAGGATCTTTTGTTATTGTTGTTGTCTGCACAAAGAAATTGATCCCTGAAACAGGATTTGCACCTTTAGGGGCAGTACTCAGAAGTACTTTCTCCAACCCTTCTCCAACTCCATCAATCCACCTAAAAGCAGGAGAAACTCAAACCTGCTCTCCAAACTGAACAATATGTGAACTTTTATTTGGCTTTTTGAGGTGGAGATTAGTGGATCTTAAATGTCCAGAGGGTAGGGGCTTAACCTCTCATTTAATCTAATCTAACTCCATTATTTTACAAAAGAGAAAATTTGAGATGCAAATTAATTGATTTACCCAAGGTCACTTTGGGAGGAGTAAATCCAATGACTTCAAATCTCTTTAAAACAAACAAAAAACCCTCGGTGAAGGCCTACAAACTGGAACCTCTTTCAATATGCAAAGAATAACAACAAAAAAAGGGGGAGATTGTATATGTTTCCATTTATTCTCCCTTTATTTGCCAGGAAGTGATGGAATCAGTTGCCAGGATGTTAGGGTTTTTTTATATTAATGGAATGTGAATTCTGTTTTAAGTAACTTGTCTTCTCTCTCTCCCCACATTTTTTGTTGTTCAGTCATGTCTGACTCTGTGACCCCATGGACCATAGCATGCCAAGTCCTTCTATCCTCTAGCGTTGTTAAGTTTAGAGTTGGGAGAGCTGGTTCAGGTGTGAAGGAATTCACTTAGACTTTCTCTGTAGCACTTGGTGATGAGCTCAGCGTGGACCCCAAGAATGTTGGAGTGCTACCTGAAATGATAAGGAAGAGACATTCGGGTCCTAATATTCTGAAAGAATTCATTCAGACAGTCTCCAAGTTAAAGAAAAACATTTATTGGGGTGATGTATCCAAGTGGGCCTGCTCCCTATAAGGCAAAACACAAACCAAAGACGCTGCTTCCCTAAGAGAACAGAGAGGCCCCTGCTTCCCATAGGAGTCAAAGGCAGTTAGCCAGGTCAAAGGTATGGTTTAAATACAATTTTATGGAATAGGGGGAAAAGTACAAGAGAATGGGTGGAGTAAGCACGACTCCAAAATGCCTGGGATGTCAGGTAGTCAGGAGATGATAAGCAAAGAGAACAGGAAGGGGAGGGGAAGAATTGTTCTGGCATTGAGGGTGCTTTGTGAAAGCACACAGATAAGTCCATGGGTCGGGGTTTCAAAGTCTACATCCTTCATCCTATCTCCTATCTCACCCTGCCTCAAGTATTCTTCTACCCCATCAGTATCTCCTTAAGTCTGTCCAAGCTCTTGTCTGTTGTTTCAGTGACATTATCTGTCCATCTACATCTGCATCCCCTTTTCCTTTTGCCTTCAATCTTTTCCAACATGAGGGTCTTCTCAAGAGCCCTATCTTCTCATTATGTGGCCAAAGTATTTAAGCTTCAGCTTCAGTGTTTGACCTTCCAGTGAATAACCTGGATTGATTTCTTTAAGTATTGACTGATTTGATCTCCTTGTTGACCAAGGGACTTTCAAAAGTCTTCTCTAGCACCACAATTCGAAAAGTATTGATTCTGCAGTGCTCAGCTTTCCCTGTAGTCCAACTCATAGTCATATGTTGCTACTGGAAAAACCATACTTTGCCTATACCAACCTTTGTCAGCAAGTTAATGCCTCTACTTTTTAATATGCTGTCCATATTTGCCACAGCTTTTTTTCCAAGGAGCAAGTGTCTTTTAATTTTATGGCTATGAGTGCCATTTTCAGGGATCTTTGAGCCCAAGAATATAAAATCTGACACTGTTTCCATTTATTCTCCCTTTATTTGCCTGAAAGTGATGGAATCAGTTGCCAGGATGTTAGGTTTTTTTTAATATTAAACTTCAAGCCAGCTTTTATATTCTCTTTCACTTTCATCAACATGCTTCTTAATCCTTCATTTTCATCCATCAGAGTAGTATTTGTCTGCATATATCAGATTGTTGATATCTCTTGGCAACCTTAATTCAGGCTTTTGATTCATCCAGCCTGTCATTTCTCATGATATACTCTGCATATAAATTAAATAAATAAGGAGACAATACATAGCCTTGTCATACTCCTTTTCCAATCTTAATCAGTTGTTATATGTTCAGTTCTAACTTGCTACTACTTATGTGTTTTTAAAAAAAAATTCAAATTTTAAATGGTAGTTCCTATATTACCCTGCTTGTCCCTGTCCCCTTCAGAGCTTCCTTATGCTCTTTTCTGTTTATTGATTCATTAATGCTCTTTTCCTTTCCTATTTCCTTCCCTCCTTCCTTCTTGCTTCTTTCCTTCCTCCCTCCTTCCCTCCTTTCCTTTTCCTCCTTCTTCTTCACTGTCACTACTCCAACCCTGCTTTGGCTGTTTCTGAAAATGTATGACTCGTTCTTCTCTGGTTCATTGTTGTTTAACCATTTTTCAGTCAAGTCTGACTCTTCCTCACTCCTTGGCAAAGGATACTAGAGTGGTTTGCCATTTCCTTCTCCATCTCAATTTACAGATGAGGGACTGAGGCTCAGTGACTTGCCTGGAATCACACAGCTATTAAATGTCTCAGGTCAAATTTGAACTCAGATCTTCCTGATTCCAGGCTTGGTACTCTATTCACTATGCCACCTAGCAGCTCCTAACTGGTTCATTACCTCTTTGCCAAAAGGTAGGAAGCATGATTTACCAAAAGGCTTCTGAGGACATAATTGGTCATTGCACTAATAATTCTTAAATATTTCACAGTTAAAAACAACTAGCTTTTTAAAAGCAGCAATATTAAAGTCATTTTGTAAGTTGTTCTTCTGATTCTGTTTATTTCATTCTGCATCAGGTCAGGTAAATCTTACCACGTATGTGTTCCTGAACTACTCTGCATTAATGAACCTGCCTGCCAAATGTGAATCAGAATTATTTAGTTATCTTGGGAGTCACCAACTGACAGTCAGTTACTATAATTTCTTTTCTACTTTCCCAGAATTCATACAGCTTTGTTCCTCCCGTGAGACAACCTAAAAATTACTAATATTGTACCTGCAATATTGTAATTTTCCCAACCTCAACCTGAAATGTCATTGTTCTTCCTGATATTCACCCTTAACCATCTCAAAAAAGACGTTAACTGTCCTATCCGCCTTCCATCAAAATCAAGGTTCTTACCTTTGTTATCAGTAGTTGAAGCTTACATTTTTTTTGGGGGGGGAGATACAACATATTTGTACATAATTATTTTCATGTTGACTCCCTCATCAGACTATGAATTCTTTAAGAGTAGTGACTGTTTTTTTGACTTGCTTTGTATACCCAGCACTTAGCTCAGCACTGATGCAAGTGAGTTCTAATTGACTCACTGAATGACCAACAGGTAGTAGAAGGTATTGCAGGCCAGAAAATTCCAATCTGTAACAAAAGTCATTGAGAACTCCAAGCATGATTAATTAATTTATTAGGGAGTCCAGGGGTCCCTAATTAGTTGGGTCCAAGATCTTTCTCTCCTTCAGGGACCCCTCCCCTTGGGGAGCTACTTTTATACATTTAGGAGAACACTAAAAATAGGAGGTGTTACAATTCATGTATTGGTCAGTTCCAGAACTGAGGAAATCTTATGGTTGGCTAAAGGAAATGTCCATCAATCAAACCATTCTGTCAACAGGCCTTTCACAGGTCATAAGACCTTCCATTGGTCATCAACTCCAGGTCACCTGTGCAGGGGCTTTCCAAAGGTCATAGGACCCTTTCAGCAACATCTCAGAACTTTTACAAGTCATAAGACCCTAGTATTTGACCAACAGTATCCTAGGGTCCAAAGAAGTTGTGGGTTTGAAGCGAAGGTCACTGGGAAGTGGACAATAATGATTGTTAGAGGTGAGGGGGGTACTGCACCTGCAAATGAACCTTATTATATAGCAAGTTAAAGATTTGGGGCTGGGGGTAGTGTAGCAATTATGTTCTTATTACATTTCTAACTAACAGTATGAATCCAGCTAAGTCAAATGCAATTAATATAATCATAAATACATGGTGAATTAATCATTCCTAACTCTTATCTTAACAGCATCAATTAACATGATTACCTCAAGCTAAATTCTATTCTGCTTAATTCATTAATGCAATCACTGATACCCATCAAATCACAATAAACTGAATAAATGCTGATTAATTTGAGTAAGGGCATCAAAATTGTCACTGTGTCTAACAAAATAAATACAGAGTAATTGCGGTGGGAAGATTGGGGAACTAAAAACTGAAAAGCCCAGGAAATGCTTTTTATATGACAGGGGTTATTTACTTGGAGTCTATGAACTAATTTTTAAAATTTTTAATTAAATTTAATTTTGATATTCATATTTTTGAAAACTGTATTTCAATATAATTTTCTTTGCAACCCTTTGTATTTGATTTTATGC